GGAAACAGTTTCAGGACTTTCTCGGAAGTTACGGTGTATGACGGGACGAAAAACAAGGTACTCATTGAAGGAGGTGCTCTTGGCTTTGGAGCCAGACAGAGGAGAGACCGCAGACGAATCAACGGACGAACAAACTAACAAACTAAAAATCAGGGCTTTATGTAACAGAGGTCCAGGGTCTCTGGATAGAATGATGGAAGGCAATCTTACATTTACATTTATTCATTTGGCAGACGCTTTTATCCAAAGCGACTTACAAGTGAGGTACAATACAACACAAGCAAAAAACCATACAGAGTCAAAAATATTAGAAGTACTGCATGACAAAGTTCCAAAGGTTGGCCAGCCGTGGTACCAACTAGCAGGTAAAGCTAGCGAGTGTGTTAAACCATTACAACCAAACCATTATGTTAAACGACTACAACCAAACCATTACATTAAACCATTACAACCAAACCATTACATTTTTTATAGCTTAGTAGGAGATAGGAGGGTATTGTCTCAGGTGAGAGTGGAAGAGCTGTGTCTTCAAATGCTTCTTGAAGACAGAGAGGGACTCAGCAGAACGGATGAGGTGTGGAAGTTCATTCCACAACTGGGGGGCAACTGCAGAGAAAGTCCTGGAAAGTGGGTTCTTCAAAATGCAATTCATCTTCCCAGCCCTTTTCTGTGCAAAGAGTGAAAAACAAGGCACCTGTGGCAGGGTGGCGGGGTGCTAACAGCCAGGAGATCTCACGCTGCAGGGAGCAGCCCTGGGGAGCGGTAGCCTGATATCAGCCCTGCTTGTTTGTGCCACTGGAGTCGTTGGCCCCCTTCAAACGGCGTGGGACAGGCACAGAATCAGCAGGGTCAGACAGAGCACACTCAGAAACGGCGACCCCAGGAGGGTGCCAAGAAACGGGGGGTGCAGAGAGGTCACATGACCTCAGTGCTACAGCAGTGTGGTGCTGTGGTAAGGAGCAAGGTTTGTGATGCAAACGTCTTCAGTTTCACCACCCAGGTAGGGCAGTACTACTGTACCCCTTGGCAAGGTACTTAACCTCAATTGTCTCAGTAAATATCCAGCTGTATAAATGGACAAAACAAGCTATGTAGTACTATAACACTAAGTTATGTGTGTTGCTCTGGGTATGAGAGTGTTCTGCTTAGCTAATTTAATGGAATGCTACAACCCAGCCTGTGCATCTCTCGGCACAGAGCAAAGTTTAGCTGGGTATGAACGTGGACTTCTGAGGACATTGGCTAATGTCTGCAGTGGTCTGATGTAGTGAGGGAAAGAGGACAGGTGTGCAGTTTGTCTCCTGTGGAGGTAACAGGTGTAGGTGAGTTCACCTGAGACACCTGTTCTCACATTACTGTGACTCCATAGCTCCTCTCCAGACATGCCATAATATAGACAAATATATAAATACTGCACATAAATGCTATAAATGATCAGCTTTTCGACCATCCAATCTGGTCTCTGTAAATGCTCCAGTATTTGTGGCTACCTCATGGCTTAGGTTTGCATGTTATGTTCAGTGATTACACCTCCCCTTTCCCCCTCTCCCCCTCTCCCCCTCTCCCCCTCTACCCCTCTACCCCTCTACCCCTCTACCCCTCTCTCTTTCCATTCCACCCTATTTTGTTCTCTCTAAAATTCAAAGGTGCTGACCTCTGTTTGCAGTTATTGCCAAAGCAATGTGCATCTTCTACTTCTCTTCATTTTCGTCTGTCTCTCTGTCTCTCTCTCTCCATCTTTTTCTGCCTGTTCATTTTCTAGCTGCTTTATTGGCATGATGCACCAAACCATGGAATAACAACAAGCGCAACGTACAATGAAAACAGCAGATTAATAATCACAGCAGTACTGTGTCTCTCTCCATCTCACTCCTGTTTACTGATGCGCATGCATTTAACATGAGGAATGAGACACACTGCAGCCAGCCCCTGTGCTGTTTACCACGAAATCAGACAGTCTGGACACCTCCCAGACCCACACACACACACACACACACACACACACACACACACACGTTTTCACAACGTTTCTGCAATGTTGTGGCGGTGTGACTGCCAGTGCTGTAATTATCTGACATCCAAGCCTCACAGACTTCACCCACATATTTACAGAGCCAGACGCCCACACTTCTCGGCTCTAGCCAGACCGAAAGTAAAATAAAGCAAAATAAATTCTGTGTCATTCACTTTTTTTGAAAAAATACCCCGAAGAGATGAATTTTCAAAATTTTTCATTCCTTATGATGTTTAATGGTAACCCATGAACCAGGAAATAGACAGTATTGAATTGAACCCTGGTATACCTTACTCACAGATGTGCTTTGTCTTACATATTCTCTCTCTCTCTCTTTGCCACCATGATCTGCTCCACAGAGTAACTGTAATAATGGGAAAGTGCTTTTGAAGGCACAGCTCGGATTTCAGCAACAGTACAAGAGCATTTCGAAGACACAGTGGAGTTTATTATATAGGCGTGTATGACGTGGTGTGTGTTGTTTAACCAGCGTGTAAGGAAGCCGCCAGAAGGTGTTGCTAATGATGCTAAGCTGTGTAGCAGGATAAACGTGAGTTAACTTGCAGCTGACGCACAGAGATGGCAAGCAAAACACAACAAAACAAAAACGCAAAGCACTTTAGGACCTGCTATTATCGTAAACCAGCCATACTGGTTTACATGGTGGGGGCCATGACAGAAATGTCATGGCCCTCACCAGCCAGGCTTTGGCAGTGAGGGTGAACACCATCATACCGAAAATAACCAGGTCTTTCTTTCAGCTAAGAGCGCTGGGGGCCTCAAAATTTGTGCCCCCCCCCCCCCCACCCCCTCCACCCCTGACCCTTTCCAATTCCACCTTGACCACTCCTTTTATAACCCCCTCTTTGAGGCCCTGTTTATGTTTACAGAAGCCGCTTTACACAGGTGCCCCATTTTAAAGCATTCCCCAATGAACACTCCATTTCATCACCGCTGTAAGAATAATGTTTGCAACAGCAGTCCCAAACTACACTTGCTGATGGATCTCTGTGCTCCTGTATTCCCATACTCCTCCCAGAGAGCAACAAAAGCTCTCACTTTTACTGGGACCTTTTATTTGGTCGTTTCCTGGTCCAGAGCTGTAGGGTTTTTACAGAGTGGGATGCGGGTAGCAAATGGGAGGAGAAAAGGACTGTGATTTTGAACAATTCATATGAAAATGTTAAGCTGTGCCACATATTGAAAATATTAGACACTCAAACAGTGTCAATCAACTGACACTGGCCTTGCATGAAACGATGAATTTATTATGCAAAATTCATTGTTACATGTTCATCATGTTGCTCATACAAATGTGAACATATAGAAAATAGCTGTGCACTCACAGATCTGTGTACTCACAGTTTTGTTTTTTTTTTGCCTTCTTTTATGGGGGTGGGAGCTCATTAAGGTTTTGTTTGAGACCAAACTGGCTTGCCTGAGGAGGGTGGCTTTTTCATTTTTCAGTTTTCAGTTCTCCCTCCTACTCAGCAGATCATCGTTGTCTCATCATGATCATTGCATGACCGGTGCTGTGTAAATGTTACCGTTACAAAAAAAATGAAGAGTTGAAATTCAGCTTTTCCAAGTTTCATCCTTGCTCTAAGGTTCCTGGGGGAGTTGAGAGGGTGAAAGTGTAGCAGAGAGTGGTGACAGATAGAGACACAGAGCACATGGGACAGTCCTCCTCTGGAGGGGACATCGCCTCCTAGAGGCAGGGCGTGGATCAGATCACGGATGAGTCTTAGCTCTGGTAAGGGGGATAAACGTGCCTCTTTCTGTGCCGTCTCCATGGTGAGGTGAGCGCACGGCCCCAATTAGTGCCCTGACTCAGGCCCCCCGCACCCAGCCAGCAGAATACTGATGGTCCCCTGGTAAAAATCACAGGTGACTGTTATATTTGTGTGTCGGTCGGGTTGCTAGGTGAGCTGGCTGTGTGGGTGGGACCACCCGATCTACAGTAACACTCATATCCCCTAACAACACACACACACACACACACACACACACACACACACACACCAGCAGGACCAATTAGCCGAGCTGGTGAGGACACCTCAATCACAAGCCCGCACCTTTGTGCAGAATAAAAGAGAATAAAGAGAATAGAGAATAAAACCTCCTCAAAGAGACAACTGATTGGAGAAAAACAAGAGAAGCTTCAGTTGTGCACACGCTTGGGGAAAGAGTTGTAAAAGGCAGTACAGACTCCCGTTGGCTCAAAGCGTCTGTAACTGCTGCGACATGCTAATTACAGAGCAATTAAGCATCCACACGGCTTCAGCGCGACGTAATTAAATTTCGTTTCAATTAAGAACCGAGTGAATGAATTTCGCTCACACGGTGAAATCTCACCGCCGTGAAACATATCCTCTTTAGCGCGATGGAGTCTGGCTTGTTTGTGATGCTAGAGTTTTGTATGTTGCGTCTCTGCGAATAACTTCACAACGCAAGGGACTGGCAAAGTTTCACAGCGACATGGGGTATTTCTCACAGGGTTGAAAGTTCAAAACAGTCCGGACTCATAATACAGTATCAACACACATGATGGCTGCTCCTGAATTACTCTCTTAAATATATTGCATTGAATACAGTCAACTCCGGATAACGTCGCATGCCCTGCAGTGCTCTGAACCTATGCACTTAACCACAGTATGCACATAACGGGAGTAAGTAGAACCAGTGGAGTGAAAAGTGGACCAGCCACATAATGCAAAATTATATGCAATGTATGTATGCAGTTGCCAGGTTTACCGTTGTAGGGGGGTCACTGTAGTGGTAAAATGGAATACAAAGGGCAACAATTTAACTCTCTGAGGCAGAGGATGATCGTCACTGTCATCCTTTTTCATGACCTGTGTAAAGCACGCCTTCCCCTCGGGGCACAGTGGTAAAATCACAGGTGCTCTACATTATGATAAGATATTCAGCTCCTGCCTTCCTTCTGTCCTCTGTATTTCCTTGCCTAAGAGTTTGCCGCTGGGGCGCCAGTGTGGCATAGTGGTTAAGGAGCAGGACTTCTAACCAGAAGGTTATCGGTTCAATTCCCCACTTGGGCATTGCTGCTGTACCCCTTGGGCAAGGTGCTTAATTGCTTCAGTAAATATCCAGCTGTATAAATTGATAGCATGTAAAAACCTCTAATTGATGTAAGCTGCTCTGAATAACAAAGCACAGGGAGCAGAACATCTGGTCCAAATGTGTAGAATATCTGTGATAAAGCCCCTTCACCTGACTGACACTCTTCATTAAACCTCAGTCTTAGCCCATTGTCAGAAATATTTCAAAGATATCATTTGTTTAACAGCTAAAGACTGGGTACTAAATCCACAATCTTTCAGGCAGCTAGAAGGACATGAACTACCCAGTCCCACTCCAGTCTTTTCCCTGTATGATTTCATAGTTCTCTGCCAGTGCTTTCACCAAGCACTCCAAGGCAAAATACAGGCAAATATTACATCATATATTTACTTAGCAGACACCATTATCCAGCTTACATGTTCCATGTGTCATCCTTTTACACAGCTGGAAATTTATTCAGGCAGTTCAGGTTAAGTGGCTTAGTCAAGGGTACAAAGACAGAGTCGTACCTGTAACATTTGGATGACAATCCCAGCTCCTTCACACCGGTAATCTCAGGTGCGGATGGTACAATCACCAAATTTGCAATACTCACAATACTTTTCAATACTTTTAAAGCAGCAGTGATTTAGCTTCAGAAGTTACACAGAACCGTACCTCACAGATAATTTGTAGCAGTGGTTCGCGGAGTCTTCGGGTTTCCTCCCAGGTTACATTTCCACCATCCTGCAGGTGCGCATATGGACTGTGGTTCAGAAGGTCGACTCTCTGACGTCCCTCAGGGGGCAGAGTTAAGCAGGTCTGCCCTCTCGGGGGTTAAACGCGAGCGGCACCTGTTTGCACCGAACTCACCCGGTCGCACCACCTCTCCGCCTCCGCGCTCGGGAGCAGACTCCTGCAGCGAGCACTCTCACAGGGACGTCAGTGCCGGGAGGAGGAGTAGGAGGAGGAGGAGGAGGGGCGGCGACCGCGTCTGCGCCACGGTCAGCGTTCCGGAACTCCACGGAACCATCCCGCACGGACGCGTCTGTGACTCACGGGGCTCGGCGGAGTCACTCTTCCACAGTTAGTCCAGAGAGTCCATTGGCTGCTCATTTTACAGTAAACTGTTATCGCTGCTATTGCTGCTGCTGCTGCTTCAGAGGCTAAGTCACAGTTTCCACACTCCGAAGAGGAGAGAGCAAGCTGTGAGCAGGATTTGGCACACTGTATGTTATGCCAGTGAAGTTATGAAGTTGTGCCAATGAAGCTCAATTTCAGTTTGAATGGAAAGGTTAAGAGCAGTTCAATGCTATCACCATTATTGTTATTTTCATAGTTATTTACATTTTATTAACAATTATTATTAATATTATTGTTTTGTTTTGTTGTTGTTGCAGACACTATAGATAAATTCATATAAATAAGTCACAAACTAAGTTTCAATTTGAAGTTCAGAACATTTAAATGTTTTTACTGTAATGGCTTCTTAGTACTTTGACTGTTGATTAATTAAATTAAACTTTAATTAATCAAAATGTTTTTAATTGAACTAAAGTGACATGATGAGAGAAAGGAGGGGAGAGGAGAGCGACACTGAGACTAAGGAGGACAGAGAAAGACAGAGAGAGAAGCAGGGACAGAAAGAAAAGAGCTCAGAAAGAGACAGGTAGAAAAGATCCCCAAGAACCACAGCTCATTTCACAGTTTGTGACCCAGCTGTGGTGACCATGTATGTTGCTATAGTAACAACCAAAACCTCTGTCTGATCCCCCAGGTGATGGCCAGAGTTTTGATACACTGGCCTGTCTGTGTCTTTAATAAATGAAAATCCAGGGAAGACAGAGGCAGAGAGGGTTCAACAAGACACGATAACAGAGGTCACCAGAAAGGTCAGAGGTCACAGGACAGGTAGCTGGAGTAAGTAGTATCATATCTTTCTAAAAGCCAGCGTGGAGGAGAAACTGGTGTAAACACACTAATGCCTCAGTGCTGTTACACACCGGCATTCCCGATTGCTGAAACATACTAAAGTCCCTTAATATCTGTTGTGTGCAGTGTATTCCCTGAGTGCTTCACAGTGCTTTTCATCCAAACTCAAAGCAATTTACAGAGAGAGAAGGCAAGCAAGTGAGACAGAGAGGGAGGGAGGGGGAGAGAGGGAGAAACAGAGACAGAGAGACAGAGAGAGAGGGAGAAAAGTCAGAGTGAGATAAAGAGACAGACACCTCCGCTTTTCCTCGTTAGCTGTATCTCTTGTTGTTTTACTTATTCTTACTTAAAATTGCATCAGTACTTACATCACTATGGGAATTATCATCAACACTACTGCGCTGTCAGCAGTACGCTCTGTGATGCATTTGCCTGCTGTAACCCTGCGGTTTGGCAGCGTCCTGGTTCGTCAAGCCAATAAAGTACGTTTCGAATCTCGAATCTTCAGAGACACAGACGAAAGAGAGAAGCAACAGCTATTGAGTAAAAAAGAGAGAGTGAGCCGAGTGTGCAAGAGAGAGACAGGGAGAGGAGAAAGGACCCTGCTGACTGACACTGTTCTGTTAGCTGTATAAATAAAATAAGGCAATCCCAGTCCTAATGTTCCAAGTCTTCAACATCCCACCATTTTAAGAGCAGCGTTAGTCTGCCTTCATCTGCACGTGAAAAGCAAAGAGACAGCTTTTATGGCTCACGGCTCAGGGTTAGGGGAAAAAAATGCTTTTATGAGCGATTTGAAAGGGCAGAGATGTTACATTAGGCACTTTGGCAGGAGCGCAAGATTGCTCTGATTCTGATTTAACATTAAGCAGTATGGAGGCAGCATAATGGATTTTGGCAGATCCCTAACCACAAACAAAACCAATCAAATGTAACCTGTCAAATACTGTCAGCATCCTACAAGAACAAAGACGTCGCAGTGAGCCGTCAGGGGGGTGGGTTACGGTTACCACAGGAGACGATTCATGACGTCAGTAAATCTCTGCGCGTTCCTCACGGCTTAAATGGAAACAACTGAGAAATAAAGGCGCCAAGGGCTGGATTCAATCAACATTTGCCCTTAACTTAGACTCAGAAATAAATGAAAAGTGCTATTTTCCTTCCAATGCAAACAATCCTTCCAAAGCAAACCCAATCCTTTTCGTTCATTCGATCGCTGAACTGGCTGAACTGCTTTCGTTGAACGCAAGACACACTAATTGTGAAGTTAAGGACGGCTTGAAAGCTCTCCAAAAACCCAGCATGACCTCTTAGGGGTCTAGAGGAGGGTGGTGTCAATTTTTAGACACTTTTTCCAATTGATGACTCACTAACATCCTTTAATGAAGGGTGTCTGGTGGTCGGTTGCACACAGCGAGGAAATCTCTTTCAGCTAGAAGCGCCGTTTTAAATCCTCGTTCATCATCAAGGCACACGCTGCAGGATCCAAGAGTGCTCCTTTCGGGCACGGCAGTAACAGTGGCAATTTTGGGAAGGGGGCCGCTGGCAGTGAACAGCTCCTTTCGGGTAGTCTGTGTGGATTGGCTCTTGACTCCGTGACCCTCTTTTCAGCACTTTACTGAAGCACCGCTCAAGGCTGCAAAACCAACACTCCTTCCAGAAGTCAAACCTGCCCATGCAGTCACCATTAGTTTGCAACTCAGTGATTTTTTTTTCCTAAATTCAACTAAATTTAACTAAAAATGGATTTCTCTCTTATTTAAGCCAGTAGGTTTCATACAAAGGCACATAGATCAAAGTACCTTGCCTCAGAAGAATTTCACATTCATAAAAGATGAGGCAAAAGGTTTCACAAGTTTCAGTGTACTGGCTTCGTCAGTGTGATTCTGTCTGCAGTCTTTAGAGAATTCATAACTGATGGCCCTTACATGTTAGTTAGTTACCTGGAGAGCAATTGCCGATCGGTGCCTGTATTTTCAGCAAGGCTGTTAACTAATTCCTCGCTCAAATCCAAGAGGAACCGTCACTTTTCAATAGAAATGAATAGTGCTCTCAGTTATGCCTAGAGGTTTGAAACTCAGGTGTGTAGATCAAAAGAAATTCAGATTATTCAGACTATTTTCATAAAATTTCTGCACTCCTTTTTTTTTTTACAAAATGATGATTCTGAAAGGGTCATACATGTCAGCATACTGCCTTCATTAGTGAAACAGTGTTCGTCTCTGCGTAGTCATCTCTTTATCAGGCTTACTTACAAAGCCCAGCAACTCTCCCCTGGATTCAGTCCAACTGTCATAAAGCAAAGTGCTACTCAATAATTTAAAAAAGATTTAAACTTGCCAAGATTAATCTGGCATTGTACAACAACAACTTCACAACTTAGCTTCAGATGAATCCAGGAGTCACTTTGTCATAGTTTGGTGCTGGATTGATTTAGGAGAGGTTATGGCCTGGATTCAATTAAAAAATTTGTCCTTAAATTTCACTCAAATTTAAATTCGACGTAATGAATGTATGTGTATGTGTGTTTACAATTCGATGTAGACACTTTTTTTGCATTAATTTTGGTGACCGCTGAGAGCCTGAGAAACCTGCTTACACATCACACATTATTAATTGAGTGTTACTCATCCTGTCTGACAGTGTGAGTGAGTGCAAATCTCTGCACTGAGTCATTATTTACACAGAAAGAAGCTGGGTTTCATACAACGCGAGAACCGGGGGGTGGGAGAGCAGGGTTACAATATTTCAATATTTGACCCTGTGGGCCATAGAATATTCAAATGTCAAATTATTCTGAATACACATTCCCAAAAGGACATCGTAACATTTTTTGTAGGCCCATTCCCCCTCTGGCCATTTGCAAACCATTGTGCTTGTTCACCCTGTGACCTTGAGTCAGCTGGAAAAAAAAACCTGGACGTTAAACTCGATCCACTTGACAACAGATGGCTTTATTCACAGGATTTGGAGGACCATGAAACCCAGTGCAGGAGCGGGGACTGTAAAACCTATTTTTATTTTTACGAACCGCATTCATAAAAGAGTCATGCTGTAAAATTCACCC